TTTTAAACAATCATATATGTGATAAATGGATAAAATCCACAGTCTATTCTGAAATTATAAAAACCAGTTGTCAAATATACAGTACGATTTTTAATATAAAATGTTTATATAAAATTGAATTTCTGTTTCATACAGTTTCACCAAGCGTCAGGACCATTGTAGAAACCTAACATTGTCTTATACACAATTCACGCAGCACAGACTCGCAAATACATAAGTCTGAAACATCCTACGTTCCCGGTTTACGTGTAAGTCATCCAGCAATAACTCTGTCTGTTTGAAATATTGCTAGCGTTTTAGAAGATAAGAATAAATGGTGTTTATACAGCCGCACCGGGTCGAGAAATATCCTTTAACTTCATTCAATTTGTTTATAAAGAAGACGTTGAAAAAGTTCATTATCTTGGCCATCTTCCGCGAAATAAGGATGATTAATTCTACTTCTTTCAAGCCGTACAGCACGAATGATGAAGGTAGAAGGAAGTGCATTGCGAGCGTTTTAAAAATTTTCTTTGTTCGTTAATCGAATGAAAACAGTGGTTAAACCTTATAACGTTCATTTTACGACGAGAAGGAAGTTACTTAAACGCCGTCCGTAAGATGACTTTTTTTGTCGTTTTATCGGCCCCTCTTTAACTTTCATGATAGTTTGATTTTTCACATGCTACAATTCAGTTACGGAAAGTAGAATACTGAAATGTTTCACTTAGCTTTGGAAGTATTAAAAAATACTATTCACGGTAGAATATACTTAATAGAAAAGATGTACATGATCACTGCAAAAATTATTTACGTAAGTATGAAAACTGTGAAATGCTATTGTATTATACATATGTACACTACCATTCATAGGTATTAGGACATTTGTTCTGTATGAAGAAAATATGTTTTGTCAATATTATACATTCTGAGTCGCGTTTATCACTTCATAGTAGCAGAAACGTTGTCCACCGACCTTTAATATCCCCGAAACTGTATTTATTTCAGACTTTCAGCAATTTTGCAATACCCTGTAACATTTACTGCATATTCGATAAAAGTATCCTGATAAATACTTATGGGCGGGAGTGTATGCAGTTTCTTGTGACCTCTTGGAAGCGCACTAATTTACGACCTTCAGTGGGATGGAAGAACTTCATGTGACAGTTCGTTGAAATTGTCTCAAACAATACCATGATATTAGAAACAGAAACGTATTGCATTCTATTATATTTAAAAAAAATTAAATTGAATGTGGAATGTTCCCCACAATTACGCTTATAGAAAAAATTTATACCTTACGTGATATCCCCTTTGATTCAACAATTATAGAAAGAATTTTTATAGAATTTTTAGAATTTTATAGAAAGCATTTTTTCATGTCATTAATCGCCTACTGAATATTTTTTAATCGATCTCGGATAACATAAATACCCTGCGCAGTATTAAAGGAGTATATTAGAAAATTGGACTGTCATGGCAAGAAATATTATACATATAAATAGGAAATATACTCGTCTGTCCATCACATATAAAATAGTGTAACGTTTACTGGAATGTACAAATTATAGAAAGCTTAGTATAAAGCATCATGGTGTATAAAAAATTGGCAATTTTTCCTACATCAGAGACGATAATGCAATCGTTATTTATATAAATTTCTCGTTTGATATATTATAACTAAATGTGGATATTTATTATTCGTCTAATATTCTACTCAATGAATGAGAATTATTTCATTTTATATCTTTCGCGATTAGATAAACATACTTTGTGTCAGATATATGAATCATTTTAATTTCAATGTTTTAATTTCTTTAATTAAAAGTTGTACAGTTCTACTTCGACGTCACTTTCGTTAAATCAGCGAAATTATCGATGGTTTATTCAGTAAAATCTAAAGTTTGTACCTCGTGATGCTGGTTAGTGACATAATTTTCTAGTTCGACTTTTTTTCGAGTAACATAAGCTTATATATCAACGTTATTTTAACCATTAATTTTTCTGACATAAATTGCAAATAAAGTACACAATCGTTTATAATTTTCGAATAATCTTCAGATTTAGAAAGACGTTCTAAAGGATAGTTCTGATGTACTTACAACTTTCATGAATAAACTTCAAGTATATCTTCTTAATAAGTAATCTTTTTAATAAAATAAATATTTATTTTACTTCAAACACACATGTGGATTTAATAGTTAAAGGAAATGTCCCCGAAACAGAAGTTTTACTGATGTACCTACAAATTTCATAATATATATTTTGTCATTTGAATTTTTCCTGCTTCGCGAATCGTCCAATATGTATAACGAGCACATATGGCTTTGCCACTTTTGGATATGAATTCATGTATGAAATCCACTGGCGGTGATTTTCAGCGTTCCCTTCTTTCATTCTCATAGACACATATACCTATAGCTACGGAATCACATATTTGTTTTTTCGACGCATGAAAATTACCTTGCATGAATACAAAGTCAAGGAACATTTCCCCTCGTCTGGATAAAAAAAGAAGAGACAGAAACGAATGCACTTCGTTCCACGCGTTTCCATGTCGAGCACGTACCCGGGATGGAGCATTGTTGTACGCTCCGTGTCGTAAAATAAGAAGCTTAGAGAAGCGGAGGAACGATGGCATTTGCGCAATGCGTTCCTTGTTAGTGGCTGCGTAGGAGATAAGTAACGTGTGCATACATACGCGTGTTTTAATTAACGCCTGAACGCGCGAATAATAATATTTTCATTAGAAGCACCCCTCAGTTTTCGCTTCTATAGAAATCAAGCACCTTGAATGTTTTATTTATATTCACAATGATTATATAACATCCAAGGGACACATATACAGGGTGTCCCACAAAGTGTAGCGTTGGATCTTCGAATAGTAACACTGTCCAAAAAATTAAAACTTTTTCCCTGATCTGCAATATCCTTGTAAAACGTGTCGTCACAAACACAAATCCAAAAACGGGATTGCTCTATCACCCTGAATTTTTGAAACCAGCTCTAACCAACTCCAATTAATCTCTATAATAATTTGAAAAGTTACTTGTGTCCCGATAACCCACAAGTACCGTTACATGTACATGGTGGGGCAATAACTGTGTCCACTTTGAATATTGCCGTCATTTGTAATAATATGAAAAAATGTTATATACAAAACTTACACGGTATAGAGGGGAGCATATTGTGACAAACATTTTCTGCGTGGGTAAAGGCATAGAGGACATTTCAAGGTCATCTCTACTTTCTTCAATGGAATGTTATGTTTTTTTTATTGCGATGTAATAACCGGTGTTGAGACGACTTCAGCGAGCTATCATTCAAGGTTATGCAAGGTGAAATGTGGTAGTAAAATAAACTTTCTTACATTAGAGGAGATGCTCGAAGTGATGACCGTTTGCGTCAATGCAAAGTTGCAATCTTCGTATCGCTGTATCACGTGTATGTCTTATCGTTTCTGAACTTATTCTAGCACATACTGCAATTATCCATTGTTTCATATTTTCTGGTGTAGTGGATACTTCTTGATAAACAGCATTTTTCAATGCTCCCCAGAGGAAAAGAAACTAATCCTCCATGTCCTGTCCATTTATTTGGACCGAGCATAATGTGCTGGACACCCGTCGTGCTGTAACCACATCATTTGGCGAACGTTTAGTGGTACATTTTCTAATAAAGTACCTAATCTACTTCGTATAAAGTGTGTACATATATCGTTCGCCAGTAAGATTTCCATCGATAAAATGCGGTTAAGTGAAGTTTATTTGACTACCACATTTGACGTTGCATGACCTTCAATGATAGCTCGCTGAAGTCGTCTCAACACCGGTTATTACATCGAGATAAAAAAAACTTAGCATTCCATTAAAAAAAATAGAGATGACCTTGAAATCTCCTGTATGCCTTCACCCACGCAGAAAATGTTTGTCACAATATGCCCCCCTCTATACCGTGTAAGTTTTGTATATAACATTTTTCCATATTATTACAAATAACGGCAATATTCAAAGTGGACATAGTTATTGTATTATCAATATAAAAGGTTTTGAAATGACATAGAACAATATTACCGGTACACAGCTAAAGATTTGTACGCTAAGACGGTTGTTAGGTCGTGCAATGTTCGCACTTAATTGCCGAACCGTTACACGATCTTTAGAATTTTGAAACCGAAAATAAAGCACACTTAGATTGTTTCGTAATGACTGTATTTACAAGTTGTGTGTTTCTGTGCGTGTCTGTGTGTGTGTGTGATGTTCACCGGGTGAGTTCTGGTTTGAGTCTGTCGATACGAGTACGTTTTGCGAATGTTTGCGAACGAATCTTTTCTAATGAATGTTTTCGACCGAATCTTTTCGATTGTACGAGCTTCGTGTGACGTCGCGCTTCCTCAAAGTTCGCTGAAGGCGTTACCAAAACTCGCCTCCTTATTGGTTATGCCCTGAAGGGGAAGGCAAATTGCTCGGTTTTTCCAAGCGACGTGGAGGTGGAATACCTCTCCTTCAGGGCGAAGCGGACGTCAGGAAAATATCGCGCACGTGGTCACGGTGCTAGTTGACCGCGACGAATTTTCGAGTCTCTCAACGGTAGGGTTTTATGACTATATTGTCTGCGAGTCAGCGCGCCCCGGTAAGGCCTGGCGCGGATGGGTCCCAGGTTACCGAGCGCATGTGGCGGACTGCAGACCAAATGTTCGCTTCTTTTGTCTCTGATTCCCTTTGTCAACGAAATCGAAATTGCAAAGGGTCGGTCTTGAAAATATATAAATTGATTGAAAGAAGGAATAACATAATAAAAAGTAATGGTATCGTCTGACCGTATAACCGTCGTTTCGGTCTACGACGGAACAACGGTTACGATTGTGTTAACCGGCGACAATATTTAACATAATAACACTGAGCGTTAAAGGGTTATATTAATTGAGAGTTTCAGTAAGAAAATTGGAAAAGAGATTCGGATCGATATCAGGTGCGCTCACTTTATGCACTCTACAGGATGGATAATGCGTCTCTACTTACCGTCATAAGTGGAATAAGCAACCAGAATATCCGCATGGGAGGGGATGCTGTACGAGCTCATGCTATCCGTCTCGTGCATAACTTCCACTGCATCGTCCAGCCGCGTCCCACGGCATGCCTACGGAAAAGAAAACGCATACGTGAGTGGGCACGCAAGTTGCAACCGTGCGCAGACATTACCCCTTTGTGCGATCCACTTGAACGCAGCGGATGATTCTATGGGGGAGGAGCATTGTTTGGCGGAACAACGACGTTCCGTCGATGACAACTGCCGTCCCCGCTTGAGATTTTTACGTTTCACGTCGACGTTCACGCCTGAGTTGATTCACCGTGGTAACATTCGCGAGCTTTCCAAGAAACTGATATTCCTCAGATATCTCGCTCATCTTTCAGTGTCGTCTACTCATGAAGCTTTTTTACGCGAACGCAGCCTCCTGTGCACGCTATCCGATGCGAAGTACGGGAAATAATAGAAACATAGTGGGGGAGAGAACTGAGTAAACTAGGGTGGGCAGAACTAAAGAATGTAGAGTAGCGGAATTGAAGAAGCACAGAGGTAGACACTCAAAGTGGGAAGAGCTGTGATGGTGTAGTAGTAGATGTGTCTGAGGTAGACTGGCAGAATTAAGGGAAATATAGTGAAGCAGTTAGGAAATATTTAACCCTTTTGCTACGGCGGAGTTGGTCGCTAGAATGTTGCCATTGTACTGGACAGTTAAGTCGCGGGACTACACCTTACCACGGAAAGTGTAACGTCTGCTTAATTAATCCGTGTAATTCATGAAATGAATGAATTAAGTTTATGTTAATTCTTAACTGAGGCACAATTTGGAGAGGGCGACTACAGTCACTTTTAGGATACCAGAGGCGCTGGGCGGTGGGTGACTAATGTTACCTCTAGTACACAGCGAGCGCTCGACGTTGGGTGAATGTAGTCACCTTTAACACATTGACTGTCACATCACCCAAATATGGGTGACACGTACATTGCAGAGAAGCTGGATTATTTAAATGATGTTACAAAATTATTGCGTAAAATTAATGTCGCCAGTATAATTAAAAATACTACCAACAGCCTGTATTAAACGAACGCATATATTTTCGACAATTTATGACTTAAGAAATGAAGTATGTCTGAGTTTGTACGGCCTTTTCCAGTCTGGCGGTCAAAGTGTTAATAAGGAAACAGTTATTAACCCCTCAACGCCGGCATACGTAAGAGATACGGACCCTGCTTTCTTTATACACCGCCAGTATACGTAAGGGATACCGACCCCGCGTTTTTCACAGGTCGCCGACGTCCGTATCTCAGACATACCCTGTTTTCTTCACGTGTCGTCGATGCAAATTACCGATCCACGGGCTGCTAGGAAGGGCGATGCGATAAGACGGATTGTATATATTATTCATTGATATATACAATCATATATCGTATCGTAATGAAACGTTTATGTTTTGTTTATAACAGTTTTCAAAAGTCTTCTCACTAAATTTTCGTTATTAATTTACACAAATTATTATTTATAATTTACGCTAATTTATCTACTGAAGTAAACACTAATTATAAACTGAGTTGTTCTATTCTTTTTTCAATATAGTGGATATCACAAATAAAATATATATTATAAAACCTTTTTAAGTTACTCGGTTATAGTAAAATGCACTATAAAGTTAATACGACATACATAAAAACATTCACCAAAAAATAAAAAAATAATTTTAATAGCTATTACAGCATACCTACTTGGTTATATGTGACTAATAATAAAATCCTGGGGCGCCCGTAATATAGTCTCAAGCAATACAATTATTTATGAGCGATCCTCGATTTTATTTTTAGTCACATATGACCAGGACTGTTATGATAACTATAAAATATATTGTTTATTCTTTAGTGAATTTTTGATATTTTATTGCACTTTTTTTGTATGCGAATTTTATTTCGCATTTCTATACGCGTTAACATCATGTAAACACATTAATAAACAATGATATGAAAATATAAAACTGTAGCATTAATAATTTTCATCTGTTAGAAAGATTCCTCCTGCGTATCCTAACAAGTACAACAAGAATATAGTTTCTCGCTACGCGACTGCCGGCACTGCAGTGCCCCTGCTCGCAAATACTACCCGGCACGACAACTTACTTCTCGTTTCGCGGCCCCCGGCGTCGAGGGGTTAAATTAACGTTAAGTATAAAGTGTTGTTAGAATGAAATAAGTTTTTATACTGTAAAGGTAATTAATTTATGATTAGACTGAAAATTATAAATTCACGAAGACGGAATTCAAATTAACTTATATTCGAACGTAAATTACAGTACCTTCGAAATAACATTGAAATGTTGATTTTATTTTGTTCTAAATATTTATCTTTCCATTTGGTATAAATACATTAAATTTCCGACCTATTTATGTCACGTTCGAATAGCATATCGGAAATGCAAAGACCTGGAATTTCAAAAGAGACGCGAGATGCTCTTTCCAGGGCGATTCTGGGATAAGTGCCGTGTGGCCCAACACAGTCCTCTTATCAGAAGGCGCCCTAGACTCCACCACTCTCTACTGAGAATCTCTCGGAACACTACCTTTATCCTTAAGATAACATAATGTCACGGTACTTGCCATGTCCAACTCCCTTTCACCTCTTTTTAAATAGACGCCAGAACCATTTAGTCTCATGCAGCCTCTTTCCAGACCGAGCAAATCCTAAAACCCTGTCATACACTCTTGGAACGCGAAAACGCGTCAGGCCATTAATAAAAACTAGGTCTTCGATTCTACTAGAGAATCGTTGACGCTAACAAGTGAGCCACAATGTAACTGTAGATTATTTCTGTTAGCTCTCAGCATGGCAAAAAGGAAAAAATAGCGACGAGCGTTTAACGCGCAGTACGAACCGAGCTGCTATCGACAGACGACTGCACCTCGATGCAATTTTTTTCGTCGTCGTCCCTCGCCTATCTCCTATCATTCTTATTTTCCAATCTCCCAACCGCGCCGTTCTCTTGGGAAAGGAAAATGTCGGAGCGTTATGAGCTCGAAGCGTCACCTCGCTCCGCTTGTGTACCACGGCGGAAGGTGGTGATATTATCGTGCAAATTTCGTCTGGAAAATTCGCGACGGCGTTAAGTCGCAAAAATTTGCGACTCGACTATCGCTAAAAAGCGGCAGCTCGTCGTCGTGGCCGCGATACGGATTCGACGGGAACGATAAAGAACCTCGCCACCGTTTCACGCGGCTAGGCGTGCGAACAAAAGGCCGGTGAATTTGAAATTCACACCGTTGTTATTCGATAAAACGCGCCTCGTGACCACACGTGACCGAGATTTATGCGATTTTCGTGGAAGCCGGTCCTGAATTAAAACGCGCGGCAGGCCATTACGAAGCGACGGCAGAAATAATTTTCCTCTATTTGCTGGAAAAGTATGTTTGGTTGTGCGAGCCCGAATCGTGTGAAACCAATTTCTCTTCTCGGGTGTGGCGTGTTTTAGTTTCATCCGAAATTATTCGGCGCTAAAGTTGCTTTGATTGATATTACGAAAAATTACTATGCTTGTGGTTTGCATAGTGATAGAAAACTGTCTATGACACCTCTCCAAGTGGAGACATACCTTCTTGGTCTTTGGGTTGCTTATGTACAATTGTATTAAATAAGTGTGAAACGAATTCTTTTCCCAGGTCTCCTTTATTTTCGTTGCATCCTTGACCCTCATCAATCCCTCATTTTGCAACGTACATTGTCTCTTAGTGTCGAATTGACACAGTGGTAATAAATTAATATAATGAAGGAATACATAGTGCAATTTGTAAATTATTTAAAATAAAGGTCACGGTGTCTTAGTTAGATTTACCTACACATAACAGAGTAACGACATGATAGTCTGTGCTGAGGTCTCCTCTACCCTTGGAGCATTATATAAGTTCATGACTCAGTTAGTTAAAAGCCATCGAAGTGAGTTGTTCTTTATTTTCTGTCTCTATCAAAAAATTTTGATCGAAAAAATTCCTTTGTTACTTGGAAACGAGTTTCGAAAAATACGGTACTTTTTAAAGACGCTTCAGGGTGGTTTAACCTCTTAAGAGGTATTCCCATTCGGAGGGGTCAAAGCATCGATTTTTTTTACTGTATTTTCTTGAAGTATACCCAATATCTTGAAAATGTGTTCCCAAAATGATACGCTTCAAGTCATTGAAATGACGAAATTATAACGATTTTAAGAGAACGATACACCTGAGAACAACGGTGTACCGCTGCACGAGTAAACGCGTTTTTTTCGAAACCATGTTTTCCAAATTGGTTGCCACAATATCTCAATAACGAGTTAACCAAGCTACTTGAGATTTGACACACATATAATATAGACATCTATATGGATACAAATATACAATAGACGTCTTTTTATCTTGTGAACTACCAGATAATTTTTGATACTTTTTTTTATCGCCTGAAGAAGTTGCAAATTTAATGAATTTTTGCTTCACACTGGTGTCATTTGGTTACAAAATTATTTTCCCGCTTCATAGCAGTTCACAAGATAGCCACTTCTATGTAGATTAAGATTATCTTTGATTTTTTTCAGATGAATAGAACAACGTGAATTGTGGTAGCCGTTCAGAACGATAGGCTACACAAAACATTCAATAACTTTGTTACTATAAAAGATAATTGCACAAAACCTTTACTGTATTTTCTTGAAATGTAAACAAACCTGTACGAAAAACTACAAGTTCCTTGGTCCATTAATTCTTGATTCTAAGAATCGCTTAAAAATGACACCTCCGAGTGAGAATACCTCCGCGAGCCTGGTGTAAACAGGTAACAATGAATGAATTTTTGGGGAATTTATTATGAAGAATGTGTTGTGCCCGTGGGGGTACAACGAATAATTTGGGATACTTGGGTTCGGGATCGTTCGAAGAATTAGCATTCACCAGTAGTTCAGCGAAAGGAAGTATTTATTCAAACTTAAGTTGCACTTTGTCGTTTGATATCATTTTGTCCCCAGGGCGATGAGCGTTGTTTTTATAAAGTCGCATTCGCCTGAAATGAGGTGGTAGGGGGTGTCTCACAGTGTGATATGCTGATACATATCCAGGCACAACAAAAGTACATA